ATCAACTTTAGGAGAAGCACGTTTAATCATGTCGGGGGATATCTTGTCCCAGCTGCTGGATTTTTTAAATTTGAGCTTCATGGCAGTAAGGAATATTTGGGGGAGGCCAATTCCTTTTCATGAAAACCTCTAACCTCCTGGTTTATAACACTTTGTACCAGGGATACGGCAGAGAACGCCACTGAGTAAACCCCGTTAAAATGCTCAGTTATTAGCTGAGCTTTATCAGCATTACTTGAATGGTATTGGATTATGGGAGTTATTGGTTGTTAAATAATTAATAATCCTTTCATCTAAACTATAAACTTTTTATTGGACATAAGGAAAGTTCGCTTTTCTATTTGATGGTAAGAGCACTGTCTACCGACTGAGAATGCTCCTACGCAATGCCCTAATATTGTCTACAACCCCGCTTGGGACCAAAGGGCCTTTTGTCACCTATCATAAACATTTAGATCTTTACTAAACAGAGGTGGTAAGGCTAAACGGATTTCTCCGAACATATACAAAAGTAATATATACTTCCTAGTAAGGCCTTAGATTAATTTTTGTTATATCTAACTGATTGATAAATCTAACAAATGGAAGTTTCCATTTACATCCATTAGCGGTAGAATCAATTTTGGTTTTTTAATGATTTTTCTGAAAACCGGTCAGAAGGTATGGTCATGCAAGTTAGCGTTAGCAATTTGGTTTTGTTAACGATACAAATGTCTTGCTGCGACAGGCGATGTAATATTTGTGCACACCGACGACGGCTCGTCCGCCGTCTTTATACGCGACGATGACGCACGCCCGGCCGTTAAACCAAAAGTCCCGGATCGCACGCGCCACCGAGGCGGCACTTCAAAGTGCCGAGCCGATATTCGCGTGACGGCACAACACTTCCCCTCGAGACGGGACTTTTTACGGCTCATTTTCCTCTTGAAAATCTAATCCGAGCCTTTCGGACAAGTCCCTATGTCTCGGACCCGGCAGGCCCTTTGTGAGTACGTCGGCCACCATTTCGCCGGTCGGTACATACTTTAACTCTATCGCTTTGTCTCTCAAAGCGTCGCGAACAAAGTGATGCCTTACATCAATGTGTTTCGTACGGTTATGAAATACGGGATTCTCCGCAAGTTTAATCGCACCCTGGTTATCGCAATATAATTGAATCCTCGATTGTGATTCAAAACCTAACGTGCGCAGAAAACGCCGCAAATATATAGCCTCTTTCGTGGCCTCGCTCATACTCATATACTCCGCTTCGACGGAAGAGAGAGCTACGGTTTTCTGTCTCTTAGACGCCCAAGAAACGGCGGCACCTGCAAGGACAAAACAATATCCCGTAAAAGACTTTCGGTCTTCCGTACAATTGCCCCAGTCGGCATCTGCGTATCCCCTTGTTGACGCCCCGCTGGCAATTTTTATTTGAAACTTTGGGAACATATTCCTGAATAGTTTTACTAATAATTTATAGAATAAAAAAAATTTCGATTTTTTGAGACATCTAAACTGGTTTCCCCCCTTAACGAGAACCTATGAGTTCTCGATACGGTAAATTTTTGTCCTTTTCGTCCGTATCCTCAGGTTCCTTTTGTACCCTTTTACTTAGATCTAACGGAGTCGATATCGGTTTACAATTAGACATGCCGAAACGTTCCAGTAAGTCTTTTATGTAACCTCGCTGATGCAATTGTATCGATTGCTCGGAACGATGCCGAAACGTTCCAGTAAGTCTTTTATGTAACCTCGCTGATGCAATTGTATCGATTGCTCGGTACGATTAAACTCTATTCCTAAACAGCATTTTATCTCCTCTAAGTCCCTGATATCAAATATATTTCCGATATAGCCTTTGAAGTCGTTTATCTTATCGAGGTCGCGCGAGACTATTAGAATATCGTCCACGTAGACGAGAACCATCTTCCCCTCGACCTTGATAATAGACGCACGGATCGGCCGTGCTCGGAAGTAATCCATACCCTCTTAATTCTTCGTCTAAACGATGATGCCAACTACGACCGGCCCGTTTTAAGCCGTATAGAGCTCTTCGCATCGAATAAACTTTATCTCCGCTTCTTAAATTACGTCGCATTTCGATGGCTTTCATCCTTACATCATTGTCCCCCTCTTCGTTTTCGGCTAAAATATCTAAGGCTCTCTCAACGTGACAGGGGACTTCCATAAAAATTTCTTCGTCGAGTTTACCGTTCAAGTATGCCGACGTCACGTCTATTTGATGAATTTTTAAATTACAGTCTGTTCCACAAGAGCGTGGACGCGATATCTGAGTGCAAATAAATCTTTTCTGTAAAAAAGGTTGTTAGGTCGAAAGTACATTTAAAGAACTAATACGCACTTGCTTAATAATGTGTCCAGTCACCACCATTAGCGATTATTGCTTCACAACGTCTGGGCATACTTTCAACCAGCTTTGCAGCGTATGAGACAGGAAGAGATCTCCATATTTCTCGAATACGGCGAACTAGCGTCTTCAATTTTAAAATGCGCTTTCCTCGGAGTTTGTACTTCATGAGAGACCAAACATTTTCGATTGGATTGGCATCGGGGGACTGAGATGGCCAATCCAACACGTTGACACTATTCGCTGTTTTCCACTCCGTACAAAGGCGGCTTCGATGTTTGGGGTCGTTGTCCTCTTGAAGTATCCAATGATCTCTGGTTCTTTTAAACCAATGTTTCACCGATACTAAGAGACCCCTTTGGTACAGTTTAAGCATCTTCTGGGCATTTAAATTATCCGTAAAGACGCACAAAGTTCCGAAACCCCGACTGTTGAAGCACCCCCAAACATGAACTTTTATTGGGTGTTTAATGCTTCTTTGGATGACTGGATTTCCATGGGCAGACCAGGCTCGTTTTATAGGAGTCCAAGCCCTCATCGCTGAACACGACATTGTTCCAATCACGACAAACGTTTTCATGTGCCCACGCCAACCGTTTTCCGACGTGCTTTGTTGAAAGCAACGGCTTCGAAAGTGTACTACGCCAAGCAACTTTATTTTCTTCCAACCGACGTTTAATTGTTACTATGCCTATTTTTATGCCCTTTTTTGCTAACATTGCTTGCGCTTTACGTAAGGAAAGTGTCGGATTTTTCGAAAAAAGCTGCAGAATTGCTTTATCATCCCTTTTTGTCGTAGCTCGCTTCGAACCTCGATCAGGGAGATCATCGACACAATTTGTCTCTTTATAACGTTGCACCCACTTATTTACAAATTCGCGAGACTTGTGCAGATATTTTGCTGCATTTCTAACACTCATTTTTGGCCCTTTCAGGTGCTGGCACAAGAATACTGCTTCGAATCGTTTAGCGTATACGGCACTCATCTCGAAATGATTTGAACTTCTCAGTGACAGAAATGATACTAAGAGAATTGGGGCTATTGCGTATTAGAGGAGACATTGTATGTTTGGACTGGCACAATCTTTGCTGTATTGGGTATCAAATTTCACAGATATCGCGTCCACGCTCTTGTGAAACAGACTGTATCTTCAGCCGCGAGAGCAGCCATGACTCTGACTGATTCCAAACGCGCAACAGGGGCGAAAGTTTCATTGAAATCAATTCCGTAACGCTGAGAAAATCCGCGCGCTACTATCCTCGTCTTCCGACGGTCAATTTCACCGTTTGGCTTATACTTATTTCGCAAAACGATTCGGCTTCCGATTACTCTCGCGCTTTTCGGGTGCTCAACGATTTTCCAGGTATCGTTTTTTAGTATCGATCCTAATTCGACCGCAATGGCCTGGTGCCATTCGTCCCTTAAAGGATCATTAAAAAATTCTTCATCAGATTGTTCAAGATCACTACTTTCATTAAAACTGTCGCTATCACTTTGATAAAATATATTCTCTATTTCTGCCATTATGGGGTTGTGTATCCCAAACAAGGTTCACCAAAATACTGAAATTATTTGTTCTGCTGCAACAGATACGCATTACTTTGAAATAAACCAGAATGAACTAGTTAAATCTCGTCTTAGTTTCAACGACGTATCAGAACGTCATGTGCGACTATGCCCAAAGAAATGCATGATGTTCTGATACGTAAAATGTAGCCAAAGGGTTAATGTTGGCAGAAAACTGCCGATATTTGTCCCAGTTAGTGACCGGGACAGAGGTAGCAGTCATGTTAGTCATTATGGGAGTAAGCAGGACAGGACGATGGTCGGAGTTAAGGTCATCAGCTACTTCAGATTAGACAGGAAAAAATCAATGGTGGAAGGGTTCCAGAAAGGAACAAAACGTGTGTGTGAGTCCGGGTAGAAGATAGAATAGGCGCCCCTCCCCAAGTGAGCATCAAGAATTCTGCCATTGGAATTGCAGCAAGTGTTGTTCCATCTTGAATGCTTAGCGTTGAGGTCAGTGCCAATGATAAAAGGGAAAGGAGCCCCCTGGTCCAATGCCCTATCAGTGCAATAAGCAAAAATCACAACTACATTATATTGTGTTAGTTTGACCGCAATCGCCTCGATATTGTCCGGAGTGGACAGTGAGAAACGACAGAAGCCAATGTTTTTATGGATAAGGATGGCACACCACCATCCTGGTGTCCTCTACAACGATCCTTCCTGACAATATGATAATCGCGCAGAGAAACACTGATACCCGGAGTTAGCCACGTTTCTTGGATAGTGGCAACCATTACATTGTTAGTAAATGTGAACATTTCCAATTCGAGAGTCTTTGATTGCAGTGAACAAGCGTTCCAAGTCATCATAACCCCTGGGAATTGAAGAGGGAACGTGAATATATATGAAAATAGAAGCTGTACTGCCTCCACCAGGACTTCTAATTTGTCGGAAAAGGAGTGACATGCCGCCAATTTTGGACTGAGGGATTTGACAACAGGAATTACCTTCTTAGCGAAGTAGGAAATTTCTTTAAATAATTCTTGAAAGTCCGCAGGGGAAGAGGATGGTGCAGTGGAAGATGAGAGTGGGGCGGCTTCAGGAGATGAGAGCCTTTTTTTTTAATCGGTGGAGGGGAAATGCGTTTACGCAGACCAGGTGTGTATCTGGTCCTGTAGGACTCAGGAAGATGTCTCCTACTACCCAGTAAAACCTCTCCCCCTTCCTCTTCTGGGCGCCGGCTGAATTTCCCCCTCGGGACTACTGCGTGGCGTTACAACGAGGGGCTCGCCTTTTTTAGATGTTGTACCTCGTGCGCCAAATCTTCGCAAAAGTGCCGCATCCTGGGGGACTACGATGCGCTTTGACCGCTTCTCATGTATCACAGGTAGGTATTTTTGTGTGTGTGTGTGTGTGTCCCAGTTAAATAATTAAATACATACGTGTATATATATGCGTGTAGAAACTTAAAATAGATTTATATACAGAGTTTAATAAATAAATAAATAGGATGGCATATGAAATAAAATGCTGTAGAGAGGCAATATAACAAATCAGAACAACCATCTAACCAAAATCGACATACATAGGTTGCAGTAATAAATGAAAGTCACATCGCAGGAAGGTCCCACGTTAATCCAAGAAACATCCCTTGCGATGTCCAGAAACCGCTGACTAGAAAAATGACTATATTTTGACTAGAAATCTGGGGCAGGGGGGGGGGCTACTCTCGCACATTTGCACGCCCGTCCCTCTCCCTCCGTCTTTCCTGCGTTTCCTTTTCCGTGAGGATTTCCCTCACGAAGTTTCTCCACGCCTTCCTCTTCTTACGATCCTTTCCCGCAAGCGCCTTTTTGCAGCTCCCAATTGTTGTTGGTTGCCCTGCTAGCTCCCCCGCCAACCTCTCCCGATTTTCATCCCACCGGGTGCATTTAAATACCGTATGGTACGCATCGTCTAACATCTCGGGGACACAGTCTTTCCAATTTTTTCCCTAAACGCGTTGAAGCACCCGTGCCAGGTAAGGAATTGGGTGAAGTGAAACTCCCACACCCCATCGGACACCTCTACCCACTTTCTCACATTTGGGATCATTTTATAAGTCCACCTTCCGTAGGCAGAGTGTATCCACGCCTCTTGCCACGCCTCCATGGTCTTCTCTCTTTCCTCTCGCATAATCTCGCTTCTCTCGGGGGCCTCCACGACTCTTCGCCCACTCCTCGTGCCGTGGCCTTGCCGGCCGCCCTTTCATAAATTCTCCTCATTTCCTCGATCAATAGATGCCAGGGATTTCCCCGGCAATGACAAAAAAGTAGACCTATAGGCCCTTATCACTCGGGTTAGGGCCATCTTCCGTACCATTTTCAACCTTTTGACATTAGTATTAAATTTAACGCCTTCGTGCCAAGCTGGCGCTGCGTACAGTACTACCGATTGGGCCACCCTGTAGTACAGCCTTCGTGCAACTACCCCTGGACCACCCACATTTGGGGTGAGCCCGGCGAGTGTCCTCGCAATCCGAAGTGCTCTCATCGTTACCTGCTCCACGCGCTTTCTGAATACTCTATTGGTGGGAATATAAAGTCTCAGATATTTTACCACCTCTTTACACGCCACATCCACATCCCTGAACCTTATACCAAAGTTTCTCCAAATCTCTCTACCCGTCAACAGGACCATTTCGGTTTTGTGCTGGGCTATTTAGAGCCCCTTACTCCCATACCAGTCCAATAAGACGCACATCGCGTCTTGGGCCCTCTGCCTTACAATGTCCGTGTTGCCACCTACTACGACCAGAGCCACGTCATCCGCGTAGCCAACCAGTTTGCACTCCTACCCCATTGCAGACGACGTTCCAAAGGATGGGTCCGATCACCGACCCTTGTGGGACTCCCGCGTAGACATTTATATGTTTCCATTTCTTCCCCATCTATACTGCGACCACCCTATCTTTCAGGTAGACCCTTATTAGCCTCCTCAGAGACTGAAGGAAACCTCTCTCTTCTATCGCTGTCACCACGTCACGCCACCTTAGCGAGTTGGACGCGTTTTTGACGTCAATCGTGACTAATAGACAATGCGCCCTCGCCCTCGAGGCTTCGTCCCACACTTCCAGCACGCTTCTCATGGCGTATACCGTGCTCAGCTTTTTTCTAAACCCGTACTGGTTTACCGCCAGGTCTCCGTCTTTTTCCAGGGCTTGGTTTATCCTTTCCTTTATTACCTATTTGAGCCATTTCCCCATGGCTGGAAGCATGCAGAGGGGGCGGTACTCGGATTCCTTCCCCGTCAATACTTTCTTCTTAGGTAGGAAAACAAGCCGGGTAATCTTCCACTGCTTTGGAAACGTTCCCGTACCAAAGCAACCGGAGAATAGCTGCACAACCCGATGTCGTCAGCGCCCAACTATCTCTTTGATTGCCTCCGTGATAACCCCGTCCACCCCGCGGACCTTCCCCGGTCTCACCTTGCCGGCTGCTTCAAGCATCTCCTTAACCGTAACCTCCTTCCTTAATTCCACGTGGCTATCCACCATAGCCACATCGAACCGGCATTGGGCATCTGTCACGAACAAACCGCGGGCAAGTCCAACCGACGTGTCGCTATTCATTCTAGGTATATCTCTCCCACCTTTGATGACCTTCATTACTGTTTTATATAAGCGTCTCCACACGTCCGCGTCCACTATGTCACACATTTTGGCCCACGCGGCTTTCTTTACCTCCTTTATTGCTCTCGTTAGGGCTCCTCTGATTTTCTTATAAATGTCCTTTGCTTCTAAATACTGCGGGGTATCCCCCTTCTCCCCCTCAGCCTAACAGCTCTTCTCTTGGCCTTAAAAACATCTCTTCTAAACGCCGCTATATTATCGTTCCACCAGTAGTTTGCCGTTTTGTTGTGCAGGACATCTGGGACCCTCCCACGGCTCTTTTCTGCAGCTCTACTCAGCGCGTCAACCACCGCCCTCACCATCTGTTGAGGTTCCAAACCAACCAGCCACCCGTCATCGTTTTCGAAGACTCCTTCAGCAGCTGTGACAAAATCTCCCGGCCTAACCGTACCCGGTGGGGGTCTCCATCGTCCAGAGGTGTGCCCTCCTTGCGGGCAAATACGGTGTACTACATACTTGTGATCAGAGCCAGTGTACTTGGTAAGTATGCGACTAGGCCCCGCCTCCCTGGCAATATTGCGCGAGCATATCATAAAGTCGATAACCGAGCCCCGGCCAGCCCTCTCGTGCGTATTTCCTCCACTAGCAATAACCGGAAATAGCTCATTGGTGGTGCAAAAGTTTGCCACCAGCATACCCCTTCCATCCCACCGATCAGTGCCCCATAACGGGGATTTTGCATTGATTTTGCAGCTGCAGTGGACTGCTCCCCCCCATCGTAGTCATTCCCATCGAGGTAATCCAGATAGCCGCGTCCCCATCGCAGTCCGGGACCCAGGTATCCAAAATCTTATTTGACTCACTGATAAAGACCAAATCTACACCCTCGTCTAGTCCGGCTTGGTTCTTTCATTAGAGATTCACGCGTACGCTTGTTCACGATAGAGCGCGGGTGAATCTCTGTTCGCTCGTGCCTGAGCGCGGGCTCTACGCGCGCTCTGATTGGCCAGTGTTTTTCGTTAATAATTCAAAAACGAAGCTTCAACCAACATTTTGGTCAAGGAAACAATTGTTTAGAGTCACCCCAGCAACCCCCCATTTCCGGGTGTTACACTCTTTACGGGACACCCTGTAAATAAATTTACACCCTGCTTTAAATTAAATACCTGCGGGTAAAAATGGCTTGAACGGAAAGTTCAGCGTGGGGCGCATACGCCCCACGCGGCAGGGAACGTGTTAAATACCCGCTCGCGAAACGGGAAAAAGTAACATCTTGCGGCTACCTGTAAAGTAGCTATACGTTTATTTGCTGTAAACACTAATTTAATTCCGTTTCCTTTTTGTATATGTAGGATTTGGGAAATTGAGATTGACGGAATGACTTAAGACGATTGGATTAACGTAAACTTTAATAATAAAACAAATTACCATAAATCACTAACATTTTATTAGAATTTCTGAATAAATCCTTATTTTAAATTATTAACGTTTTGAAAAAATGTCAGAAAATTAATAATTTACAGGCTCTTGATGGCTTTGATTTCGATGGTGTTGGGTCAATATGCTTGGGAAAATGACCCCAATGTTGCGCGTGCAGTCTCTGTGGTAAATCTCCGTTCGATAATCGTCCTCGTCCTTAATATTCTGGTAACGTAGGAGTTAAATATGTGCAATATCAAACACGTAAAAGAAAACTTTTCAGTATCTTTTCGTATATCTTCTCATAACAGGAAAGCACGCTAGCATTTGGTCTTGCCGATCAATACCAATCATTCCTTTGTTGTACTCAACGACACATTTTGGTTTCGAAGTAGGATTGAATTAATTTTTGCCTTGTTCAGTCATTTCTGCTGTTTCGTGTTTTGTAGAAATAATACGAACGCCTTGTTTATCTTTCCATTTTAATGCCAGTATTCCATTGCAGCTTCTCATTCTACATTCTCCCTTTTTTAATTTTGCTTTAACAAAATCTTTCAACATATTCTTTCTGTTCAAACGTACTGTCCCAACGGCATTAGTTTCACTGTTACGTAAAGTTCTAAATAGTTTTAGTGAAGAGTACCACTGCCAACAGTGTGTAACACTGACTGTGACCCTTTGACAACAGTTTCAGATGCACTATCATTAGAATTTATTTTATCACTACCTCTATATTTTTTAAAGTCATAACAATAACCTGATTCTGACTCACATAATTTATCAAATTTAATACCGAATCTCGCCCTTTTCGATGGATTAAATTGTTTATGTAAGGAAAAAAAAACGGGGGTAGATATAGGTGGTGGTCGATTGATCAAACAAATAATCATAGTGTTTACGTATTTTAGTATCTAATATATTCCATACCATCTCGATTGGATTTAAATCCGGAGACTGAGGTGGAGTTTTCATTATTTTTGGGCAATTGTATAACAGCCATTCTTGCACTACTTTCGATTTGTGCTTGGGGTCGTTGTCTTGATAAAAGTGGAAAACGTTTAAGATCCCCATCTTTTGAGCACTTTGCTTTAAATTTTCTTTTAAAATATTTAAGTACATTATTTTGTCCATTGTATCTGTAATAATTTGCAGATTACCCACACCATGATAACTAATGCAGCCCCAAACCATTATATGACCGCCCCCGTGTTTAACAGTACTACACAAATTCTTCGGATGCAACTCTGTGTTTGGTTTTCGCCAAACTTTTTGCGGACCGTCGGAGCCCCAAATCTTAAATTTGCTTTCATCGCAAAAGATGACATTATGCCAAAATTCAGAAGGCTTTGAAATATAGTTTTTCGCGAATTCTATTCTTTTCTTTCTGTTAATTTCATTTATGTAAGGTTTCTTCCTTGCTTCGCGGCCGTTGTACCCGTTATTTCGCAATGTTCTTCTAACTGTTTCATGGGAAACTTCTTTTCCAGAAAAATCTTGAAGAAGTGCGTTGATTTGAGGAGCACTCATTTTTGGATCTCCTTTGACTTTCCTCACTACAAATCGCTCTTCTGCAGAATTTAATATCTTTTTCCTACCACGGCCTGTTTTATTTTCTACTCGTCCTTCTTCTACGTAACGTTTTATAATGTATCGCACTGTAGAATAACTTTTGCAAACAATTTCTCCAATATTCCTGATGGATTTTCCATTTTTCCAATGAAAAATAATTATTTTTCTGACCTCCAGATTTATTTCTTCACTTTTCCTACCCATAACACTGAATTGTTGAAACGAAAAATTGTAAATAAAAACTAATGCTTCTTAACCACTGGTCTACGTTATACTGATTACTTTCATCAAGAATCATAAACAAATGCCTATCAAGGTCACATCGACTGCATTTGTTTTGGTTGGTTCGTAGCGTGAGCGAATAATTTTGTGACGTGAAAAAGTGTAAAGATTTGTTATCATTCGTTTTTTTGCAATTATAAATTAAAACTTTTCACTTTTTTTTACGATTTTGTTATATTGAACTGTAAATAATGTATATTCAAAACAAGAAGTCTGAAAAAGTCCTTTGTTGTCTGGTTACTTAATTCAACTTTACCGTATTAACGACTGAGCGAATAATTTTGTGACCCACTGTACATCCTTCGACAAAATTCCTCGTCAAGAGGGCACCCTTGGCAATTTGGCCTTCCTTAGCCTTCCCTCGAGGCAGAGCTCTCCTTAAGAGGGGGAAGCGCGGCAAAAGAAGGTAGATGGCCCACTTAAGCGTTCGTTCTATTAGAGTTTTCCCGAGAGACTGGAAGCTGTGTGTAAGGAACAAAGGAACGCAGCATAGACGTGGAGGGGGCGAGCGCGGTTGCACAATCTAATGCAATCGCTTACGAGAGTGGAGGGCCGAACCTAGTGACACTACGCAAAAACAAAACTAGCCTAGAGTCTACACTACCGGCTAAAAGTTTGGAATCACTATGTAAATTAAGAGAAACAGGATATTTCTAAGAAAAATTGAACGCCTGCAAAGTAATTGAGGAAGTTTTATTTGTCAAAATATTGGGTTGTTCGGAAAGTCATTTCGTTTTTTTTGGGGAACATGAAAGACAGTTTTCGTATAATGAATAAATATTTTATTAAATTATATATTGGCCATTCTGGTCCAACACCTTTTGCCATCTTTCTGGCAGTAACATAATTCCCCTCTCATAAAAGTTTTGGTCCTTGCTGGCAAAAAACTGGTTCAGGTGGTTTTTGACATCTTCATTTGAGGTAAAGGTTTTGCCATCCAAAAAATTTTGCAGGGACCGGAACAAATAGTAGTCGGAACGCGCCAGATCTGGAGAATATGGTGGATGTTGCAGTACGTCCCATTCAAGCTGTAAAAGTTTTTGGTGAGTGACCAAACTTGTGTGAGGTCTCGCATTATCCTGGTGGAACACTACACCCTTCCTGTTGATTAATTCGGGCCTCTTCTCTTTAAGTGAATCATTCAATTTGTCCAGCTGATGACAATAGACTTCTGAATTAATCGTTGTATTGTCCGGCAAAAGCTCAAAAAAAACGATTTCTTTGACATCCCACCAAACGGAGAGTATCACCTTTTTTTGGTGAATGTTGGCTTTTGACACGCTTTGAGCCGGTTCATCTTTTTTGCTCCATGACCTCTTGCGTTTAACATTGTTGTATACAACCCATTTTTCGTCCCCAGTAATAATCCGCTTCAAAAATGGATCATTTTCTTGACGTTTGAGGAGCGAATCACACGCGTCAACGCGACGACACAAATTTCGCTCCGTAAGGACATGGGGCACCCACACATCGAGCTTCGAGGTTAAGCCCATGCCTTTCAAATGGCCATAAACAGTCGAATTCGACAAATTTAATCTCTCACCGATCTCTCGTGTG